CTGCTGCCCACCTGCCTCCAGGCTGTTCAGTCTTTGGTTTGTCTCATCACAGTTGCCAGCAACAGCCAGCGCATCTTCTGATTTTGTTGTTACTTTTGCTTCAGTCAAGCAGCTGGTTTGTGCTGTGATTTCATCCTGTCACGTCTGCTTCCCATCTTTGTGATGTGTCTCATGAAATGTGTTGAACGTGACCTACCTTGGCCTGTTCACGGGATGCTGAAAAAAATGCTAATCTTGTCATATTTAGCAGCTGCGTTCAGAAATGCTACTGTAAGCCTAAGAGGGCTAACCAGCACTCTTGCAAGATGTCAGAACTATCAACCATTACCCTGTAAGTGTATGCAATCCTGTGACATTACTGTGTTTGTATGACGCATGTTGCAAGTAAATGAATGGATCTTAGCAGAGGGGTAGTAACCAGAGAGCAAGCATTCCTTGGGTTCTTGTTGCATGTAGAATATTAATTTTTGTGTGTGTGTTTTTTGCTGTTGAACCACAATCAAGGGGTTTAAGGTTATTTTTTGGAAAAAAAAAAAAAAAAATCATTGCTATTTGTGGTTTTGGGTAGTGTCTGTATAGAAACTGTTAATAGTTATTCTGCATTATACAGCAAAGAGGTGAGCTGAGAGTAAATACTGCACCTGAAAGTTTCTTGGAACAGCAAAGGCAGGGCAGGATTGAGTGAATCAGACTCAGCTGGGTGTAAAACCACTTAGGTCCATTGAATTGAGTGGAGTTTTCTTCATATACACCCAGGGGTGAGGAAAGGCTAAAGTTAAACTAATAGCAATGTATTCTGTAACTAGTCAGAAGTCTTTGACAAAAAGATTTGCCCATGGGAAGGGAGTCATCTAGAAAAGTGAATAAGTGGGAACAAATCACTTTCTCACAGTGCACCTTACTCTGTAATTTGTACAGGAAGGCCACAAGATTAATTCAGATGAGGTGTGCCTTTCAGAAATCTATTATACAGTATGTTTCCTGATGAACTTGGCCCTGAATTTCATAACAGTCTTATGAATGCAGATCAACAGTCTCAGAAACGTCCTGCCACAGAGATCCAACAGTCCAGCATTTTGTTGAAGAATACTCAGTAGTTCTTTGATACCATGAAGGAAAAAAATGTTGTTGGATACCTACATATTTTGTCATGTTTGTTAGCCAGGAAAAACAAACAAACAAACAAAAAAACCCCAAAAAACAAAAAATCATTTAAAACATGCAAAGAAATTTTCTCTCTGATTTCACATCTACTCTAGGTATTTAAGAAACAGATCAATGCAAAAGATCAAAAGATTAGGTGAACAGACTGACATTGTGCAAAAGCAGATAGAAGAGAAAGAGAACAGAAGAACAGTCAGCAGTTCCATCTTCTAAACTGAGAGAAAAATCTAAGAACAGGTAAAATTAGGACCTGCATTTAGGAGATGTGTACAGTATGAAGTTCACTCAAATTTCTAAAACCTAATGCAGCACAGATTTCATGCTGTGCCTTTGCAGAGAGACAAACTTCACATTAAGTAAGTGCAGAGTTTCAGAAAGATGTCAGACTGACAACTGTCTAAGGTGAAATCCTCTACCTGGTCAAGGGCAAGAAGAGTTCAGTTTAAACAGAAGCCCAGAAAAATTCTGTACACTTCTAATAAACATAATCAAACCTTATTTTTTTTGTGTGTTAGAATTTAAAAATTTTGGTAATCTTCCACTGATTGTCAAGTCCTTATTCTGATTTATGCATGGGAAAATTAAAACCTTTATTTAATTCCTGTGTTTAGGTGTTACATCAGGTCTTTGAAAGTGATCCTACAGATGTAACTCAGCCTTTGGAAAAGACATGTATTCATCAGGGAGACTAGTGAGATTTCTGAAAGTCACATATTTATCATGTTTACCATCTTTTTGATAAAATAGATAGTCTGGTTTATTTAATATGAGCTATGTTCAGCATTTCATTCCCAGTGATATCCTGTGTGTTCATGGTTTGCTCTTTATTCTTCTATTTGAAATAGTATTCTTAAATTTTTTTTTTTACTTATTCATCACTGAGTTAGAACCAGAGAGTTGTAATTCCTTTAATCTAAACTTTACAAGGCAACAATACAGCAATTGATATGACAAACTCAGTCTAGATTCCCCCTGTAGTCAATTGAGAGACTTAGGGTGTGATAAGGACTTCCCTAGGAACAGAGAATTCTTCCTTGTGCCCAAGTGCCTGTTACTCTTTGTTGACAATAAAGGGAATATGGGTGTGGAATTAATTTAACTAATGTTGCCATTGCAGATATGTCATAACTTTAACCTAGTCAATACGTACATCAATAGATGCATTCATTGCATACCCATGGGGTTTCCAACTGGAGTCACCTCCTCTTAAAGGGGCATCTATAGCAGGCAAGAGCTATGCCCTGAAAGTGCATTTTTCTCTGCATCAGTTTTAGGGATATTATGTCAATAATTTCAATATAGAGATTTACAGTATGTATGTCCAAACCTTTGTGAGATCAGTGGTTTTCTGTGTGACTACCACAGACCTTGATGTGTTCACTACAAAAGTTTAGACTTGATCAAATTAAATTCACTTAAGAATCAGCATTTAAACTGAACAATTCTCTTAATTTGAAGACCCAGGCCTAAATAGTAAAAAAACACCCCAACTACATAGTTTTGTTTCAAAGGCTACAGGCTTGAGGGCCTTTTTCTTGACAATCAGTGGTATTTTGTTTCAGCAAAGCTGAGTTGGGTGGTGGGAACCGATAAAACCAAGGCAACAAACTCTTTGCCAGAGTAAAAGTTATTCTCCAATTTATCCTTTTCTTAACAGCACACAGTGTCATCTGTCAAATCTTACAGAAGTTATAATGGCTTTTTTGAGCTACACGACTTCATTTCACCATTGCACACCAAGTTACATGGCTCACAGGTGCCTCTTTCTTCCTAATGCTCTTGAAAAAACACAATTCATCATCATCCACACAGTCATTAGTATCTCTCTAGTTTTTCTTATCATGAAAATATTTTCCTCTTTCTCAATCTTAATCATCTATAAACTTCAGAATGTGTTCTTACATTTCATGTACTTTCTTCATCACTTCAATAACAATAATGAAGACAGTAGCTCAGATAAATTGATGATGACATTATATTCCAAGATCCTACAAACTAATTGCATGATTAATCAGATGTAATTAATGCCAGAAAACTGACAGTAGAAAAAGTCTTCTGCATCTTTCCCAAAATGTATCTCCTGTGACTGTGGTGAGACACCACAGAGTGATAGGAAATTCTATCCAGACTTTCAAATCAAAACATTTATCCTTTTGTTCTTGTTGTCATTAATTCTGAATATAAAGGGTAACAGATTTTGAGGGATGATAATTATCTGTCCAGTTTACTACATTCATTTGATTATTTTTATTATTTTTTTAAATTCCATTCAAGACACTTATGTTCTTTACATCATTTTATGTTTATGGAGATAGTGTTGTTCTGCAGTCTTTTCCAAAATGTTTTTGTTCCTTTTTATTAATCTGATTACAGGTCTATAGAGAAAAAAGGACTAGAAGGGACCTCGAAATGTTTTTGAGTTCATTATACTGAGTCATTCCTGTAGAGATGCTTTTTCTAGAGATCACCACAGTTGGAGGCTCTGTATGCTCTTCATCAAAATTTTCCAAAGTTGTTCCTCTCTTCTTAAAATAACTCACAAGACTTGTGCTCCCTGGTTTGTGGGGTTTTTCATCAAGTCTTGAGAGCTGATGTGCATCTGACTAAAGAACTGTGTGTTTAGTGCAATCTCAAGGCAAGGGTTGTGGAGTGTGTATCACCATCAGTGCACAAGTATGACTGAGGGACACCAGCAACCAACTGATGTCTCATTTCCAGTTCACTGTTGGATATAACAATGTATGTTCACAGAGTTCTTGCAGATATATGAAGTCTTTGCCTTCACTGAGACAAACACATCATTTTGGGGATGTAGTGGAACATGTATTAGTAAACCAAAGATGTCTGCAATATGCCATGTGGATATAAGCAGCATAAACACTTGAATTTGAAAAAAATATACAGATTTTCCAAAAATCTTTAGGGCTTTTTAGCTTCCTTTGAGCTCCATCTACCCTCTTAACCTACTTAAAGGAAAGAAAACATTTTTTGTCCCTTTTGAAAATGTCCTGGAGATTACTTTAGGCCACTTTTTTTATAGTAAAGAACTTGACCTTATTTTCAGATCAACATTTGCTTTCTCTTGGGTCTTTTTTGCTGCTCAGTCAGCAAGTGACACTGACCAAAACTGATGCATAAGTCTTGGCTGGACCCCTGTTTTGGGGGAATTTCATCCATACTCACTTAAGTTCTTACAGATATACAGATTCATTTCCAACTCTTTTGTATATACCCACTAAGTTAGATTTCCCTCTACATCAGTTACACAGTGCAATTCCACTTAGGTTTCCAACAATATAAATGAGAACAAAATCCAGATCTTGAGAAATACTCATAAGAACACAGAGGGCTTTTTAAGATTGCTTTGTATTGCTGTTTGGGATTTTTTTTTTACTTGCAGAATTAAATTCACACACACACACAAAACCAAGTTATTTCAAACACTCCACTGGGATTAAGCAATTGGGTGAGAGGTTTATTATTGTGTTCTGGTAGCAGTCTGAATCCCTTAGCAAGATTAACCTCCTCGTGTTTGGCATGGTAGAAAATAAACCCTGCTTACAATAATGCAAATTAAAATAACAGTGCAGAGTATTAAGCATTACTAATGTGCTATTATTGTAGCAGTGTGAAGAAGTGGGAGCAAACTACAGTGTGTGTGAAATCACTGTTTGGGAACAAATGTGAATGTTGTATATTTGTTTGTATAATTATACAGTGTATGTATTTTCCAAAAGTGAGGCAAGCGGATATTTTCTGTGTATTTTTTTCTTTAATTAAAGCACAAGTTGTTTATTTCAAGGCTGCATTAAAGTTCTTTCACTCTATTCTAACAGGAGACTGGCTCGCTCTACACTGCTGCTTATCCCCTTGTTTGGAATTCACTACACAGTGTTTGCTTTTTCTCCTGAAAATGTCAGTAAGAGGGAGAGACTAGTGTTTGAATTGGGACTGGGATCTTTCCAGGTGATTATACAGTGAATTCTGCTTTCGTTAAAAAGAAATGTCTATTCATTGTAGCTACTTTGCATGCACAGCTTTCAGACTGTGTGTTTATTTGTGTATATATTTTGAATACCAGGATTTTGGTTTTCTTTGCCTGATTGTTTGTTTTCACTCCAGCTATTTTCTAGCATTTGCTGAAGGATTTGAATTACATTACTTTTTTGTCTCCTGTTTACCTAGGGTTTTGTTGTTGCTGTTCTTTATTGTTTCTTGAATGGGGAGGTAAGACGTTTAATATTTAACATTCCCCACCCACCATCCCCATCCCATTTCCTTGTGGGAGTAACTGCTGTTCTAACCCTTCACTGTAACTCATCATCTACCATCTTCCCTAATGTCTTTGGCTGAATCTCACGATGCCTCAGCAAGAGGAAGAGAATGTCTGATGTCTTTATTAAACCAAGACTTTGGTCTTTCCAGAGATGATGTCTCAGATGAATGTTCCCTAGCAGAGGCAGGGACGGTGCTGGGCTCTTTGGTCATATAACCCCAGATGCAAAACTTTGCCTTTGTCTTTGTTAAACTTCATGCAGCTCTAGCAGCCCACTCTGCCAGCCTGTTCCATTTCCTCTGTAAGGTGGCTCTGCCTTCTCACGTGTCCACCTCAACACACGTATTGGTGTTATCAGCCAACTTGGTGAGGGTGCTTTCAATCCCATCATCCAGATCACTTATGGAACAGTGTGGTGTTGGAAGGGACCTTTAAAGGTCATCTAGCCCCCCTGCAGGGCACAGGGACATTTTTTAACTAGATCAGGTTACTCAGGTTACTTAGAGCATGGTCAAGCCTGACTTGGTTATTTCCAGGTATTTATGAAGATGTTGAACATGTGGAGTTTGGTATCAATTTTTGTTTTACATGAAGTGCAATTCCACCTCCTCTTCTTCCCTTTCTATCTTCACAAAAGCTTTTGTAGCCATCCATTATGGTTTTCTGGTCATGGGATTTTTCCCACCAAGTTTCTGTGTTTTCTATAATATCATCATTCTTGGACTGGGCATAGAGCTCCAGTTTCTCATGTTTGCTGGCCAGACTACACCCAGTGCTATACACAAACGTAAGGTGCTGGGACTCAATGTTCTTGCCTTTGGCAAGGGTTATCCAACCTGCTGCTTATGAATATGCAGATTTCATTGCTTTGGACACTAAAGTTTTTTAGTTTAAAGTTCATTCGTTTAAACCACAATTCATTAAGTCAGCCAATCTGCTAGTGGAGATTATCCTGCCTTTTCAAAGTAGGTGTATCCCATCTCTTCCTCAAAGCTCAAACAAGCTATGGCATGCCATAGATGCATATGAATCCAAGAGTTGCCATCTACTTAGAGGTGGTCTGAGAGTAGGAGGCAAATTTTCAGTAGATGTGCATCCATTAGTGGCAGGTGAGAGACAAGTTGCCCTCTTGGACAGGTTATTTCACTCCTGCCTAGAACCTTTTGGTTGCCATTTTCTTTGACTCCTTGCTATGTACTTGGTACTATCCACCAATGAAAACAGGAGGTTTTTTCCAAGCACCTAGCCTAAAAAACCGTGTTGGAGTTAGTGTTGAACAGGTCTTCTATGCACCTCTGGGCTGATCCTAAATTATCTGAAATAGAGGCACAGAACCCAGGCTGTTGTTTCCACTGCATGGCTGGAGCTCTTTCAGACATGGAGATTTTGCAGAAATGAGGACTTTAATAATAGTCTTGAAACTTGTTCTTTCAAATGGTGGGGTTTTTTTCTAAGCTTGATAACTTTTCAGCATGTCCTCGAGCGGCTAAGTACATAAAAAATGACCTTTTGAAGTTTCTCCCTAAAGGTGCAATCAGAAATAAAGAGAAAATGGAGGAGCTGGAAAGTCAACCGGTATTTTGCTGTGGATTTCAAACATCGTCATCCTTCTCTAGCGAGCAGCGGAGTGAACGGGGGGACACAACTCTCCATTCTGAGCAAGAGCAGCTCTCAGATTCGGATGTCCAGCATAAATGCGGAGAACTTAGCGACATGAGCAGCTAAGGAAAACCAATCAATCTACAAGCAAACCAAAAAACACCCCTTCAAAAAAACACACAAGAAAACACACCATTTCGGTGATAGAGTGGGTCTTATCTTTTTCCTTTCCTTTCCTTTCCTTTCCTTTCCTTTCCTTTCCTTTCCTTTCCTTTCCTTTCCTTTCCTTTCCTTTCCTTTCCTTTCCTTTCCTTTCCTTTCCTTTCCTTTCCTTTCCTTTCCTTTCCTTTCCTTTCCTTTCCTTTCCTTTCCTTTCCTTTCCTTTCCTTTCCTTTCCTTTCCTTTCCTTTCCTTTCCTTTCCTTTCCTTTCCTTTCCTTTCCTTTCCTTTCCTTTCCTTTCCTTTCCTTTCCTTTCCTTTCCTTTCCTTTCCTTTCCTTTCCTTTCCTTTCCTTTCCTTTCCTTTCCTTTCCTTTCCTTTCCTTTCCTTTCCTTTCCTTTCCTTTCCTTTCCTTTCCTTTCCTTTCCTTTCCTTTCCTTTCCTTTCCTTTCCTTTCCTTTCCTTTCCTTTCCTTTCCTTTCCTTTCCTTTCCTTTCCTTTCCTTTCCTTTCCTTTCCTTTCCTTTCCTTTCCTTTCCTTTCCTTTCCTTTCCTTTCCTTTCCTTTCCTTTCCTTTCCTTTCCTTTCCTTTCCTTTCCTTTCCTTTCCTTTCCTCTCCTCTCCTCTCCTCTCCTCTCCTCTCCTCTCCTCTCCTCTCCTATTTTCAGAGGTAGAAAAGCAAAGGAAACATGTATATATCTATCTTTTTAACAATCACTGTAAATACCCAACTCTACTCAAGACCATTACTGGAAAAATGTTCCCAAGTTCCAGAGCAGGCCAAGCCCACCCACTCAATGTTTTACATTTCAGAGCATCTGCAAGTAATCCATTGTCAGTCAAAAGTAACAAGTGATTGCTATGCAGCTGTGATCCTTGGTTGCCAAACTGATACTAATCTGTGAATGGACATCACCATTGTTATTTTGGAAGCTGGTTCCCATTTTGGTTTGGATTTGCCTTTTTTCTTTGTCTTAGTCAAACTTATCTTAACCTGTCCCTGTCTTTTGGCATGTGAATTTCTGCAGTGTTTCTTGTTTGAGTCTTAGGATGGAGCTAACATGCTTGAGTTAATCAAACCAGCTGATTGAGGAAGAACTCCAGAAAACTGAGTTCATGGATGGCTTTAGTCAGATACTCCCAGTGGACTCAAAGAAACTGCTGAGCCAACATGAAGCTCCACAGCTACCATCCGTCAGTGGGGGGACTCCAGGCAAGAGACATGGGATCAATTGTCTTTTGCCAAGCCCAGGGACACTCCTGAGAATGCTTTATGTTTTAGCTAAGCTGTGAATTTCCTAAAAGGGCCATGCATTAGAGATATAACTATATTTTTGACATTGATTGAATGAGTGATAGGCTGATTGATTGGGTTCCTTGAATAATAAAAATAACTGTCCCTTCCCTCTCACCTTGAGAACAAAAGTCAATTCCAGGATGGCCTTTCCCTCCAGGTAACCTAGAGCCTTCTGCATCCGTGTCCAAACATGGCACATTTCTGGGTAGTGCTGTCACACAGAACATGGTGCCTTTGCTACCTGGTTAACTTCTGTGTGTTGACTCTTCCCTGCCAGAGCAAGAGACACAAGAGGGATCTGGTGTGATCACCTCGGAAGGTAAAAATCATGAACAACTAACCTGAACAATAAGATGGTATGGAAGGAAAAGATAAAACCTTTGGATGACTTCCCACACCTGGCAGTTTTCTCTCTCTTTGGATATTCTGTTTGTTTAACCACCAGTGGTCTTACTGCTTTTCTTTGAGAGGAACTAAATGCTCTTTCAAACTTTGCCTTGTAGTTAAAGCCACGACTGGTACTTACATACTTTAATGAAATGCTGATTGTGTCAGTTCTTAAGAGTCTTTATACAGTGCATAAAGGCTTTGAGGACAGTCCTAGCACTCACTTCATTTTGGATTTATGAACAGATATATATATATGAATATATATGTGTGTGTATGTGTATGCATATATTAAAAAAACAAAAATGAAAAACGACATTTTAAATGTGATATTTTGAACTGAAACAGATTGTAACCAGGAGATTCAAAATTCAAGCTTGTTCTTTGGTTTTATTTGACATGATCATGAACTCAAAAAAGTGAAAGACTCAGAATTCTAGGGCCAGCTGAGTGTGAGCTCTTAATTTCACTGGGGTTTTTTTTGCTGGTTTAGGTTAGAAAAAAAAAGTTTTAATGTTATTTTAAACACAGGTTTCTTTTAAAAAATAATGCTAATTTCCTTACTTTTAAAAGGAGAAAAAAAAAGGAGTCAGAAAGTTGTGGAAAAAAATATTAATTCTAATCCTTAACACTTACATAGTGCTTTATGGGACATAATCTGCTCCCAGTTGTAGCAGTGTAAATGAATGTAAAAATAATTTGAAACAGACAAAAATGTTGATAATTACTTCATATTTGTACAGGATCGTGCTCTTATGAGATGCTTACACCCCTTTCAGGTGAAATGTGTCCTTGCATAGAGGACCAGAAATCACTTACATTACACTCCAGCATCTTGAGGTGGTGTTAAATGATCCAGACACCTGTTTTTTTTCATGTTCTCAGTACTGATTTGCTACTCCAAGAGCAGAATTTGTCTACCAGACCCTCCATAGAAGTCACTGAAGTCTTTTTAACTGGTAGATTGGAGCTTCCCCTCTTGTGACATGGGGTTAAAAGCCACTTAAGAGAGTTTCCCAAGGAACCATGTACTTTGCAGTCTAGAAAGACATGAGAGGTAAGACAGATCTATCAGGTAAATTCACATTTAGACATTTTAAAAATGAGATTATCTACCATTAGGTGAACAGATAACATTTAATTTTGTATTTGAGGTAGCTGGGGCTTTCACAAGGTATTATAATGACAATATTGTGTGTATTATTTAAAAAAAAAAACAAAAACAAAAAAAACTAAAAGTATATTTTCCATGAATTCCTGGTAGCCAATGTTCAATCATGAATAAATTAGAAGTTTTGAGAAAAAAGGTGTTGCATAACTGCCTGTAGGTGGAGATTTTTTTGCCATGTTTCAGGCCAGACCAAGAAGATGTTTGGATCTTTTAAATTGTGGCTTGATTTTGATTTTACTTTTTGTTGTTGTTGAGGCTTTTTCTGAGCTTACTTTTAGATTCTGTTGTTCTCCTGGCTGTCCTACAGTGCTCTGCAACTTGAGTTGGTGGATCTCAGTCCAGTGCCTCGTGGGCAAATGTCCACACCTCCAAAACCACCCTCCAGTCACACACACTGGAGACCAGGTGTTCCACTCAGCTAAATTAAAACCAATGCATGTTGTCATTGTTAGAAGTAATTCTCTTTACTTTGTCTTGAGATTTGGCTTCAACACGCTACTATTACTATCATTTTTTGGCTGTCTCACCAAGAGGGGCCAAGGACTGATAATTGTGAACATTTGGAATTGCCCCTTAAATCCTAGAGCCAACACTCGGGTGCAAAACAAGTTGGAGGGCAGTGGAGGGGACATTTCTACAGTTGCAGTCCTTGTGTTTCTTGTTCAGTGGACAAACTGAAGTCTTCAGGACCTGTCACCAGCACTGAGTTTAATAGAAGACATCATGTCTCTCGACATATTTAATATAAACTATATTGTACAAGTAACCCCCTTCTTTAATGATTTTTTAACTGCAAATGTGACTTCCCTTAGTCACTCAAACTTTCTCAGTGTTACTGGAAAGGTCATAATTCAGGTGTATATAGTTATCTAAGCCAGACTCTGATGCCATTTCACAAATTAACTCTCAAGGAATCTGTTGAATGTAAGCTGAAGATGCTGGCCATGCATGGCCACCAGTCACTGTGGCTGTCATTTCTAGTTGTTTCAGGATGGAAGAAGCCAACAGGTGATTTGCTTCTAAGTGTGTGTAAATATCAATTGAGTGTAACAGTGCTTTGTCTGATTTTTCACTGTGAAATATATTTTGGAGCTAGAAAGGCTATGTTATTAAAAACAATGCAGAATTAAACAAAAAGCAAGTGTGCAGTGCTCCTTGAGCCATTTTTTCTACCATGTCCATAATGTATTTCTTGTCTAATTTTCTTATTTTGCTTTTGTAAATGTACAAAATGTTTGTGTGCTGCAATTTTTGTGGCTATTTACTGTATCTAACCACTGTTTGGTTATCGACTTTTTGATGTGGAGTGCTGATATTACAGGACAATTAACATCCCAAAATGAAAACTACAACCTAATTTTCAAAGGACAAGGCTTGTTTCATTGCTGCATAGTGACCACACCTCCTTCTAGCTTCACCTACACTTAGTATAACTGGAACTCAGAGCCCAGAAAATGCAACTGAAATGCTTAGTTGTGAGAGGTTTTGTTTCATGGAGGAAGAATATCTCATTTAAACATTTGTATTTGAAAACCAGATATTAAAGCAGGGTGGTGGGAGAAGGAAGAGAGATGAAAGCAGGTGAGCCCAAAGTGAAATGTAAATAAAAGGTGCAGTTTGGAAGTTAAATTCAGACCCTGTATTTGGGGTCTAGCTCCCCCTTCTCAGCAACTGGCCATCATTACTGTTAAAGAACTGTGTTTTGCAACTATAAAGCTAAATAGCAAGCAGAAGTAGGCAGAAACTGTCTGTGCTGATAGTCTGAGATGATATTTGCAAAGATGCCTCTCCCTAGACTCTCTCCAGTGTCAATAGCAGATGGGAGGCACCTTCCAGAATGGAATGCAGAGCGGTTTTTAAAATTGTAGAATCAACATCCCAGGTTGGAAGAGACCTCCAACAATCATCTGGTCCAACATGTCATGAGAAAGGGAGCCTAGAGGAGATCATCTAGCACCCTGTCCTGTCACATCTTGAACACCTCCCATGACAGGGACTCTATTACATCAGTGGGGAGGTTGTTCCAGTCAGTGATTGTTCTCACTGTATAAAATTTCTTTCTTACATAGAGATGAAAACTCTCCTGGTGCAACCTGTGCCTACTC